GGGTACTCTATGTGGGGCATATATGGGAGCATGTCCTTCTGGCAATCGATGCACCCGGCACTACCAGAATAATTGTTGCTGCCGACGGCTTTATCTACGCCGACGGGGGCCGTCGGCGTAGAAAGACCGTCGGCACATACATGGGCCCGCCGACCCCGGCTCAGACGGCGGGTTGACGCCGTCAAAACTATCACTACACCACGACACTGCATCCCCAACAACCAGGTTGGATGGGAATACAGGTTCCGCCAATAGACAGTCGATCGGGAAAGACTATTGCCGACCGACATTGTATGTTGGGGAAAGACCAGACGGGAAAGCCCTTTCCCGACCGACATAGATTTCCCGACCGACTACTTGTTGGTGATGGGGTATCTTTCCCGACCGACATTCTGTTGGGCCTACCCTGGGCCTTTCCCGACCAACAGTCTGCTGGGGCTACCATGGGCCTTTCCCGACCGACTATGTACAGGGAATTCTTTCCCGACCAACAATCTGTTGGGATGCCATGGGCCTTTCCCAACCGACAATATGACATTGTATTCTTTCCCGACCAACATTATATTGGGCCTGACATTGGCCTTTCCTGACCGATTGTTAGACAGTCTTTTTTTGCCGACCAACATCCATTAGCCCTCCATAAGTGGACTTAAATTACCAATAGAATATACATCAAGTTACAATGCATGTCATCCAAAAATATTGACCCAGATGCAAACAATAACATACATTTCAATAATTTTCACATATAAATACATCATCTGTTATGAACTAATGACCATCCAACTTTCCTATAAAACTAGTGGAACTAATTAAGTAGAGGAAACATTATGGTTTATTGCCTAATAGCAAAAATACCATGCTTTATTTTCTAGAATTTGTTTTAAGAGGCACATCATCTGCCTTGGCTCCTTATAGTGGGCAACTACATACACATCCTCTCAGCATTCCACCAAGATCCTTGTGTCGTTCTAGTACTTGACAACAAAGCCTTCCTTCTACATCTCATTGGAGAACATCCTCCAATTTGAAAATCTGCAAGTCAAAATCCCCAGTTAATATTTCCACATGATAACGGGAGAACGTGATATTTTCTCTAAGCTGCCTTCAATATCATTTCATACCAAAGCAACTAAAGAGAATTCATTATCACTGATGGGAAAAGGGGTACCTTTCGCTCCCCTCTTTTGTGTTTCCTGCAACTTCTTTTGCTATATCCTGAGATACACGAAAGGAGTAAGAAATCTAGAAGCGAAAGCATTTGCTAAATGATAGGATAATTCTCTTCAGGACATGGGGGGTAACGCTCTTCAGACAATTCCTGCATAAATGAAAGGAGTAAGAAATTAGATGATTAATAATAGGTAGCAGCGAAAGCATTTGCTAAGCAATGAATTTACCTATGGGGATAGGTGGAGCCTTCAATATTTCCAAATAAGTGACATGCTCAAAGTCCTCTGTTGTAGGCAAGCCACTTGCTATCACAAACAACAATTTAATATCTCCTTCTATCGTTACTTCACCAACAAACCAAGGCTCCAAATCCTGGTAAAAGCCATGGTATGACTAGTAATGTGAAAAATACTCTGAAACAAGAAAAAGAAATGGTTCTGTAATCAGAGGATGGAAAATTACTTTCATAGACCATCATAAGACACCACAAAAAAATTAGCCTGACAAAATCAGTTCGCCTAGACACTGTTAGAAAATGCAGCAGAAAGAAATTCTTATACAAGGGCCACCTCTCGAATGCAAAGGAAGTGACATATTTGAATGTAACTTTGAAGCCAAGATCTGTTTGTGACCTTTGTCCACCATGCTACTACAGTTTTCCAAATCATTCACTGAAAAACAACAGAAAACAAAACTTTATGTCAAGCCTGCTATCAAAAGAAAAAACATGTGTAACCAGTTCATGAAAGTACCTTTTAGAAAACTACAAAACAGTAATGAAGCTTAATTAACTGCTGCACATAAAGAACTTTACTGCTTCAAGGGTTTCTCTATTTCCATGAATCAAAGCAGCATAGATTTCTTTTAAAGATATTATTAAACTTACGGACTAGTTCAAATCTGCACACTACAGCACATAGAGAGAGGGGGGAGAGGAGGGAGAGGCCAAGTGAGAGAGTGAGATCTTACCGACGTCGATTATAATGTCTCGATTATAATAAGTCGTTGGTAGGGAAATCTGGTGTGTGGTGTAGTGATTAAACAAGTCTCGATTATAATACACTATCAGAAACTGCATTTTCTTTGCTTTGTGGAAAGAACACGGTTAGACGTTGCTGTTGCGCGCAATTGGACTATAGTATTGAAATGCCAACACAGAGGAGCATCTCATTCTCAACAACACAAATAGTAATAAATACAGAGAAGTCAATAACCATGTGTTAACACGTTGATCCTCAGCTGAAATAACCCCAACCCGCCCACCATTTCCAGAACGAGCTGATGGGTCAGCAGAAGTGTTTGTTTCTTCTCTTTAAAAATAAATAAGACAGATTACTCTATTGGCATAGGCAAAAACAACTAGTGTGTGTGATCTTAAGGTCAGCAGAAGCGTTTGAAGCACTATTTGTGTTTATACAATTCATTATGTATATAAAGAATTGCCCACTACATACCTTTTTACTACTTTTAGTTGTTCCTCCATGACCCCGCCATTTTACCTTTAGAATATCAGCTCACCGATCTGGTGTTTCTCTAGTTTTCAGTTTTCCACACTCAGAATGCTACATGCAATGGCAAAAGGTACAAAAAAAATTCAGAATACTTGTCTATTTGAAGTTGGGTCACAAGAGGTAACTTAAAATATGTACTGGTGAATGTACAGATTCTGATTGCAAGAAATAAATACCTTACTCATTTATAGCAGCAGCAGATCATCCACTGTTTGCATAATGCACCAGTATGTTCTTTCCATCAAGTAGTTGAATCTATCATCATGTGCCAAAAATGTGCTATCGTAAGGAAAAAGAACTGTGCACCTATTATTGCATATTATCCTACAGGAACTTGACTTCTGCTATACCTAAAGATGTAGTGAAGCGCTATTTTACCTAGTCGCTCATCTTCTCCAATGCCGAGATGCTTCTCTTTCGAAAGAGAACTTGACGAAACTGTATCCTTTGGATGTCCTCGCAAGGGATGTCATATTGCTTCCACTGCCAGCTAGCACATCAATCAGCAAGAGGACAAGCCTAACAAAATCACAGGTCCAACATCAAGAAGTTAGAACAGGTATGTTAGGACTACCTTCGAGAACATCGCCATGCTGAGAGAAGACGTTGTCAAATGACTCTAGTTATCAGATGTATGAGATACCTTCGACTTGCCATGCTGCTCTTTGGCTCTAGCATTGCCTGCCTACAGAAAAAAAGAATTAATTGAAGACATAGCACCATCTGGCAAGAAACATAAATGAACTTGATATACAGTTAACTTAAGTAAGATACCCAGTACGTAGATAACTCACTAGACTCACCAATTGGTGGGGAGGCAGTGGCAAAGAGGGCGGGACATCACTGCGCCACCTGCCGGAAGCTCGTGAGTAGCCGGAAGCAGGAATCCTTGTGCACAAGTGCCCTGAACATATAAAGAAAACAAAAGGCTAATTGTGATTCTGGAGCTATTTATTTCATAGCAGGGTTAAATAAGCTGAAGTTCTTGTTCTCAGAGCATGAAGATTAAATATAGACTCTTATATTTGTGACAATTCTACAATGCTCAACTGAAAGGCTGAACCATTAGTATGATTATTTGGACATTTTGTGCAACCTGAAGGTAGTTCTCACTTCTCAGTGTTGTGCTTTACAAATGGATCTTCAGTTAAGATATGCAAGCAAGACATACATACCAAGTAATCACCACATCAAGTCTGAGCTACCAGGAATGGATGCTCAAACATACCACTTGGAGTGTTTATTTTGTGACATGGACGGAAAAAATATTGAAAGGCATTACTGAATATATGTAATGCGTTTTCTGATTTCTAATTGTCATGATCAAGGGCTCTGGACCAAATATTTATTGGCATGGTAAGCATGTACTCCCTCCGTCCGCGAATAAGTGTACATCTAGCTTTTGTCTTAAGTCAAAGTTTTAAAACTTTGACCACCTTTCTAGGAATAAGTAAAAGCATTTATGGCACCAAATTAGTATCACTAGATTCGTCTTGAAATGTACTTTGATAATATATCAACTTTATGTCATATATGTTACTATTATTTTCTATAAAGTTGGTCAAAATTTTAAAACTTTGACTTAGAACAAAAGCTAGATGTACACTTATTCGCGGACGGAGGGAGTATCGTTACAGATACAGTACAATTACTGCTGTAATTGAGAAATTCAATTCATAATTGCTGCCCTCTGATGTCAATAGTTTGGTTCGGTACTTCAGTTTATTTCTAACCCATGCATTTTATTCAGAGACATTGTGCAATAAGATACTCAGTCACAAAGCAAGCATCATATCAATTTTGTACTGTCCGAAATTGGTGCCTGAGTGTATTTTCAGTTCAGGGATGTGCATGTATATAGGTTGACCTT